GTAACACTTTATGTATTAGGTAAGAATCGATCATTTCTTTATGAACTTCTAGACCATTATGCAAATGTCTTTTGACAGCTATTGTATATGTTAAATAATTATGAATACAACTGCACGACTTCAGTAAATTATTTATCAAACGAAATTTTCGTAGTTTGTTCTTTAGTTAAAACCAAAATCCTACTCTTCTCAAATAATCGTCATACCAGTCGATTGAATTTGAAAATATAGAGGACTGAATTCTAATTCATTTCAGAAATGATACACTCACCGTGGTATCTCAAGCTTTGCTCTTTGATTGTACACAGGGTAGTGGCTCTGTGTCAGTGAACAATCGTAAACAAAAATGAAACAAATCTCATGATCCGCTGGTCTTTATTATTTTTTCAACTTTATTTCAATCCATGTTGAAATCTGTGCAAAATCACTTTTACTTTGAGAAATCAGTGAGTTGTTAGAGTTCCATCCGAATTAACTACAACCATTGCTACCAAACATTACCATTGTATCATTTAAAACAGATAAAAAGCTTAAACTTTCCATAAAAATCAACTTGATTGATCGAAATCTGTAAATATTGTCATTTTACTATGAATATTTACATTCTTTTGTAAAAAATAACCTCACTTTACCATTTATCAAATTCTACTGTCTCTGAAATCTCATTCATAAAACAATTTTTAAAATTATGAATTTTTACTTTTCAATATGAAAGTGTTATAATTGCGTTATGTAGATAGCTTAGACATTGACATTTAAGAAAAGTACTTCATCGTCTGGTTTGCTAAATTATATGCAAATGATTGTGCTAATCTCAGTATATATATATATATATATATATATATATATATATATCCCAAAGTTAATGTGATGGAACTCAATCTACCTTCTTCCATCTCTTGCCTTAAAATGTCAGCCAGGACAGACAATAATAATATCACCCAAGAATGAAATAACTCAACATCATTTTGTGATTTATTATTCATTTGGCAAGAAAACAAATACAAGAATAAAGTACATATAATAATGAACACAAAATAATATGAATTTATTTTTATTCTGTACCTTCTCTTCATCTGCTTACAACTTATTCGAATATTAGATAGCAAACATTGGTGACTGAAAAATTGAAATCAAAAGGATTACCAGTAATTATACTTACGTATATATGTGTGGTTAAGATCGTTTGCATGTAGTTATCAATGTGTGTACTTTGGAAGAACATAGAGCGGTACATGTTCCTATCTCTAAACACATTTTAAAAAATCTAAGACTAAAAGATTCCACAACTTCAAACAGTACAACAAGTCGGCATTTAATGTATAGAAGCCATATTGTCAAAGTTTATCAATCATTCAAAATAATTGACATTCAATAAACACAACTTCATTAAGTGTTTTTGAAACATTAGCTATCAATGCCACAGTAAACTGATATATTTTTGATCAGACTCTCTCTAGTCGTTATTATAACTATTGTTTGTGTTGCGTTATCTAACCTTCATTTAACTAATTATTATTTTCACTCTAAAATTATCTTGTTATCTACCCAACTTGTAAGACTCTTGTAAACTTTTCGATTTCTAGAATAATTATCCCCTTATTCCTCCCATATACGTTTTTTACCTATTTATATTCAAATGGCTTTAAGCATATATATATATATAACATCATGGTATATATTGATGTATAACATTATAATATGTCTACACTTGAAAATAAATGGCAACAACTCACGAAGTCAAAATTAATTTAGAAGGAGAATGAATGATAAATAAGTATTATTTTATGATCACTAATGAACGTCTATTTGTCTGTCAGTTAAATGGTACATTGGCGTAACTGTTTTGTTAAATCTTCTAAGTTATTAATCGTCTGTTGTATTCATTATTTGTGACCAGACTTATTACATTACAGTAAATTATTAAAAGTTAAATTTAGTAAATGACTTATTCTTTGTTTTAAAAACTGACACATAAACCACAGTGTTTTAAGCTGAATAAATCTATGATCTGTATAAGTAACTATATACTGAATCTCAAAAGTTTATTAGCGGTAAATATCAAACCTTATTTATCAGATAATTCACATAAAATGTAAGCAGAGTATAGTGATTTACATTGATATTCTAATCAGCAAATAAAGTTACTTTACTTTTGCATAACGAAATGTATTCACTTTCTACGAAAGACATTTTAAACTATTAGATTAATTCTATAGTCACAATGTAGAAGTCATGATCCAGTCGAAAACGTTGCATATTAAAAATTAAATTTTATCACATCTTTATTTAAATCTCTGCATAGATTTCAATTTCTTTGTGGCTGATATGTAACTAATAGACTGCACCTTAATTCGATTACTTTGAATAAGTATTACGATATTAGTTTGTGCTCTGAAATGAATTATTTTCGTATTTATTATTTAAGTCGATTTATAATTATCCCATTGTTAATATTTTTGTTCACTGAATTTTAAACAATAAACATCAACTCTGAGATTCAGGTACATTCAACGGACAAGTCTCAAATAGAATGAAATTCACTTCCTGGATTTTACTGTTAACCACATTCCAAGTTTTTTTTCGTTCGTTTACTTTCACGTAAATAGCTTAATGATAGATTTTGGTGTAATTTCATTTGAAAGAAAACGATTTTAAAAAAAGAAAACTGATTAGTTAGTTGATGATTTGGTAGCTTTTATTTATTGATATAAATAAACAGTTTGTTATCTAATTTCATTGAATTTATTATTTGAAAATATTACATCAGATTATTATTTACTGTTTGATAATATGTTATAGCGTATTACCACATAATATGAGAACACTGATAATGTACAATATTCTTATTGTACAATGAAATATACTCATGTATAGAATGCCCTGGTACGGCCGACAGTGGAGAGAGTCCGCTCTTCCTCTCGAAATGATCTCACATGGCCACGCGTATGTAGCCTCTGCCAGGGAAGTCCTACTCATTGCCTTCACGTGGCGGGGCTGTTGTTTACTAAATTGAGAGGACAGGAAGCGAATGTTCGGCGCTTTAACCGGCTCGGTGGGCACGGAAAGTCCACCTAGGGGAGCTGGAAAACCCTGATTCCAAACCAATGGTTCACATGGGCTCCAGTTTCCTGGGGGAATAAATGGCGTATGAATCAATCGTTGGCCACCGGCTACCATGGGACTGCATCTCCTCACGATGCTCCACTGTCTTGTGGATCAGATTTTTATGTCAAAGGCTCGGGTTGTAGCCCCCTAAGAAAACCACCTGTTTCGGTATGGACACCCGGACGGTATCACAGCCCTCACACAAAACAAATAAGATTTGTGTGGCGCATATATATTCAGTGCCCTTTTGTACCAATATTTATGTGTTTAAATAAATAAATAGAATATTCCAAGAATCATTTTGAAGGTTGGTTATAAATTGAAAGATTGAATTTGTCTGTTTAAATATGAATATATGTAGTATATGGTTTTATTGTTCTCTTCTATTAACCAATTGGTTGAATTAAATAATTTAATATCAGAAGGGGTTTCTGTGGATATTATAATAATTTTAATAGTTGAGATCATGAGTCAATTATTAAATGATTTACTTTGGAATGAGTGTTTGACTCTTTTAATTCATCAATACATGATTGTGATTAAAAAAAATTTCACAAATCACTTTTTTTAATCCAATATTTGAAAAAATAAAAATGATAGGTAACTTATATAGAAGTCATTTACGTGATTTTAAAACTTATGCATATTCATTTGGTCTGTTTACTGACATTTTTAATTATGATTTTTCTATGTTTAAAGGCTTAAGGTTATCCTTCATGTTACCAAACTGTTGAAATATGATTAGAATCCATTGGAACTAGTATTGGAACTCTCGTATATGAATCCACTTGAATAGCTTAACAAAATGTGCTCAAAGCTAACATGGTTTAACTCCTATAAGATGTACTCTCTGCTGCAATCTGATTGGTCCTTGAGCTATAGTAAGCAATGTCATACTTATCTAGCTTTTAAGTGGTGATCTAATTCTACAACTCAAGTTGAGTATAGCTATTAATATAAGTGGTTCGACATTATATACAATGTGTTTTAATGTTGGGCCGTTAGTATCAGTCGGTAGGTAATTACGAATCTAGGTTTTATAACGCGGGACAAAATTTCATGCAAACATCAGTACCCTCATAATTGGAGTCACGCTAGTGTGAACCAGTGCAAAACCTCGATTCAAAGTTCTCTGTCCTTTACGTTTAATCACAGCGTATACATATTAGTTTTCTGTTCAATATAATCTTATAATCAAAGCGCTTAATGTTAAATACATAAAAATCAAATCGATGTGCATAAGTATGAGTTACTTATGCGTAAAATAAATTCAGATTCCGTTAACCTGATAAACTGTCAGATAAACCCTAGCCATAGATAACCAAATTCCTTTTATAACTGAATATACAATTAGATCGAGTTGACATTCACAAACAATTGATTCTCAATTTAACCCCACAATAGTAACTGTTTACTTTGAAAATTAAAAAAAATTGTCATTGATTGATAATAATTAAAAGTTTTCAATTTTTTAGGAAAGAAATTTTTCACCGATTGTTATATTTAACTAGATAGATAGAAATAGAGATCTTGAAATATTCGATAGAATACAATAGAAAGAAAAAAATTAACTGTCACTATTCTATTAGACGTTCAATTAAACCGATATAATTAAAATAAAACTGAACTGTAGGGTGAAAAAGTGGATGGAATAGAATGAAACACTGGTAGAATCCCGTTTTCTTTTCTCTTAATCTATTTCTATGTTTGCCATTGAATATTTAGTGTTATGTTACAGTTAACAATTTGAAAATCATACTAATAAGAACAGAGATATTAGTTCCATTCATATGTATGGTGAGTTAATAATCTATTCTTATCCATTGTTATACATTACTAACTTTTTTTTAAGATAAAATAACCTACTTTTCATTAAATTTTTTTGTCATTAGATAAGCACTCTTGTAAATATGTGGTATGGTGAAACACAAAAATATGTAGAAGCCACATTTAGTCTTGCTGAGAAAATTCAACCAACTATTATTTTTATAGATGAACTAGGTAAGTTGATTAAACTAGCGTATTATATGTGTATTATAGAAGTTTACCTTCATTTTTTCCAAAATTGTTAAAGGAAGACGATAGTTTAGTTTCTACACCCTGGTTTTCAGCAAAGCAATAATAATTCTATTTAATATTATACTAATCATCTATTGTATGACGCCCAGTTGCAATCATTAAATCAATGTGATTGTTATATCTTGAGATAGAGTTCCAGTACTGGTGCGTAGTAATTGTTAATTGAGGAACAAATGTGATTATTCTAATACGAATGGGTCCTATGATGGACTCGATAGAATATCAACTTGGACACAGCACCCCTTCGGCGTTAATAGTACACATGCTAATATGAGATAGAGGAAACTAGACTTTCAACATAACTTTACATTCTGAACAGAAGTTAGTAATTGAAAAGGGACAACTCTGTTTATTCGGTGACATTTATTGACCGTAAAGTAAATGACAAAAACGATAACAACCAATCAGATAAAAACATAAGTTCCTACGAAAATCTGAATTAGAAAAGTGTTGTCAAGACTTCCTTTTAAAGAAAGGGCTAACATATATTAACAGAAAGAAAATAGATAAGCAAAGATGGACAGTGGCTGGCAGTGGAATCCAGAATCAGCTGGATGTACCTGCATCTCAGAGTTGATGTTCACTCTGAGACTCGAACCCAGTACCTTTCGCTTCAAACGCCGTCGAGTTATCCACTCAGCTACTGAGTCTGCAATACCAAGTGAAGAAACTAGAGAACCTCAGCTCTCTTTAACAATATAATTTTAGCCCAAAGGATATGTATAATAGGTCCAATTATTGGATGTTATTTATTATAATTAATTGAATTAGTAGAATAGTTGATTAAATACCTCTACCAGATTTATGCTTCCCTCTTTTTATGGCTTGGTTGGTTTATCAAATTAATGTCAGTGTTAAAATAAAAAAGTGTCTGAGTAGTTTATGTTTGTTAATCACTCAAACAGTTAATTTCCAACAATTGAGAATATGAAGCCATTGATTTGTCTTGTCTGATTTTTTTCGGTAATAACTACCCTTGATGTAATTCATGGTCAAAATGTATACATTAGTGACTGGTTGTCAAATCAATACAGACAACTGCTTCTTTGAAATAACTGATAATGTACTAGTTAATTTTTGTCCTTCAATGAGTTTTTCCGCTCACTTCACTTATTTAGAAGAGATTGAAATAATATCGTTGTCTTTCTGGGTGAAAATATTTGTGAATACCCACGTTTTTTTCATTTTAGAATAAAACTTTCAAACTCAACATATCAACTGTCTTTTCATTGTAACATCGTACATGTTGTTAACTACTGTACAGTTTTTGTCTCATGACTAAAATCAGTATAGGAGTTGAACAAGCTTAAAACTAGTCTTACCGGTTGTTTCAAACTTTCACAGGTTCAACTTAGCTTTTCTGTGTTCCCAAAACTTTTATTAATTAGTCCCATATTCCTAATTCAAGTCAATCTCCACGTTATTCAGTCATGAAAATCTAAAAGTTGGCACAAATGTGCGCTGGTCCAAGTTACCACATGACGAAATAAATTACCAAAGCAGAAACAAAGATTTCAAACTGCTAACCAGTATCACGGTTGAAGACTAGTCGGCATAAAAGAGTAATTCCAAAATAAATAACTAAGACAACCGATGCTTCGGAAGTATTTGAAATACAATACTAACAGCGGACGCGTATCTACCTCTCTGATAACCCACGTTCTACAAATGTGCAACACTATAGGGTAGACTACTGTCCAGTTGTACTAGCCTTTTGATTGATAGATAGACATCCCACCTTTGCCACACGTGATGCAATTAAATGAAAGAAAACTGTCTGGGTTTTCTTTATTTACTCTTCTTAAATGATTATTAATTATTACCATTTTTCTGTTAGAACGTATTATCTTAAGAAGATTATCTTGTTTGTATATATTATTATCAACAGAGATAGGGGTTATTGTGCGAATAAATAATTGGTAAAAATTTTACTTGAAAATAATTGGTTTATACACAGATAACCAAGAAACATGATGAATGTAAAAATACTACTAATGAAAGTTGAGTTTTTCATCACAGATGAAATGTTGTTTCTCAATGATTTTATGAATCTCTGATTTTCCTAGTCCGTGAATAAAGTATGAACCGGAGAACACTATGGAAACTTCTTCGACACTATGGAGTTCCTCAGAAAATCGTCAGCATTATCCGGAACCTCATATGACGGATTACAGTGCAAAGTGATGCATGGAGGACAGCTGACAGATGCATTTCCAGTAAGGACCGGAGTCAGACAAGGCTGTCTACTCTCACCCTTCCTTCTAGTGATTGACTAGATTATAAAGAACTCGACATCTGAGGGGAAGCACGGAATACAATGGACATCTCAGAATCAATTAGACGATTTGGACTTCCCAGACAACCTAGCCCTCCTATCTCATACACACGAACAAATGCAGACGAAGACAGCAAATGCAGCAGCAGCCTCTGCATCAATAAGCCTCAACATACACAAAGGAAATAGCAAGATTCTCAAACGCAACACGGAGAACACCAACCCAGTCACACTTGATGGCGAAACTCTGGTAGATGTGGAAACATTCATGTACCTGGGAAGCATCACTGATAAACAAGGAGGATCTGACGCAGATGTAAAGGCAAGGATTGACAAAACAAGGGCAGCATTTCTACAATTGAAGAACATATGTGACTCAAGACAACTGTCAACTTATTTCAAAGTGAGAATCTTCAATACGATCGTCAAGACAGTCCTACTGAAACATGGAGAACTACTACAACCATCGTCAAGAAGGTACAAGTATTTATAAACATTCGCTTACGCAAAATACTCAACATTCACAGGCCGGATACTATCAGCAACAGCGTTTTATGGGAGAGGACAAACCAGCTTCCACCTGAAGAGGAAATTAGGAAAAGACGTTCGAAGTGGATAGGAAATGCATTAAAGAAAATCACCAAACTGCAATACGAGGCAATCGCTAACTTGGAATTCGAAAGGGAAGCGGAAAAGAGGAAGGCCAAAGAACACATTACGTCGGGAAATAGAAGCAGACATGAAAAGGATGAAGAACAACTGGAAAGGACTGCCCAGGACAGCGTTGTATGGAGAATACTGATGTGCGGCCTATGCTCCTCCACGAGGGGTAACAGGCGTAAGTAAGTAAGTGAATAAAGTCCTATTAATCTACAATTCTACCCAAGTATTCCTAGTTGACTATTAGTTGGTTGCATTAGGCTGACCCATGATGATAGGTACAAACGATCTGATTGAGTTGCGATCAGTGGTTGGAAACCTTTGAGTGAAATGGGTCAGTATCCGTCACTGTGCCTCAAATGAGTTCACTGTTTCTTCTCCATTAAGTTTTAAACTTCAATATTCTTTGGTATTTTAATTCCTAAAATCCATCCATTCTTTTTGAAGAATATTCTTTAATTTATACAAATATTCGTCAATATTTGAACTGATAGTTTGACAGAAATCGGACACCGAGTATATAGAGACATCGTTTGTGGAAACTATATTTAAAATAATCTCAGTGATTGAAATTTAAATAATTCTAACGTTTCGTACAGCAAACTTGTTAGAACTTCTTGAAGGTAGTAATCCAAATGATCAAAGACTATATAATCCTTAACAATCAAATGTAAGCTAAATGCTTATCCTGTCGTATTCAGATGCTGAATCTAGTATGTAGGATAACATGGGTCAGTAAGATGTGTATCATGTAAAAAGTTCACAATATGAAGATAAATGAATGAATGTATGTGTATAAGTGTAAGTTATTAATAATTGATATTAGGTGTTAATTTGTTTATTAAAAGTAAAAATAAAAGTGCAAATTGAAGATATTTTCGAAACATTGGTTTGTATGTAAAATGAGAATCATCAAATGTATAAATAAAATATAAAAAATTTTTTTTGTGGTAGAACGGTGTATGTGAAATAAACAGGTTGAATAAAAATAGGGTTCAATTACTCGTTAATGAACATTTGCTAAGTGGTGGCCAGTTGAATATCATCTTTTCTATCCAGGTTATGTTCGAAATTGCCCGTATATACATCGCTTCTGCTGTCCATCTTTCTTCATACGTGCCAAACCCTATCTGAAGTATTTTAGTCCCTTCAAAGTTAATCTTGTATCCTGTTTCGAACGCATGTAACGCTATCGTCGACCTATACTCTAGTTTCCTTAGATCAACCGAAGACTTGGAAACATGTTTCAAACATCGATTTGTTCATTCTGTCTCTCATTCAACTGCCTAGGTGTTTCTCCTACATAAGCTGGATTACAATCATGACAGTTGACTTCATTCTGTTGTTCTTCCTTTGGAAACCTATCTTTGTATTTCACTAACGCCGATCTATGGTTTCACTTGCACGAAAATACACTCTTATAATATGTTTGCTTAGAACCTTATTAATATTTACCGATGTTTCTTTACGGTATGGGATGACCACGGTGTTCTTACATTCTTTTATTATACATTAGCTTTTCTTTCATTTCTAACAGTATTCTTTAAAAAACTTTAGGGCAATTGTTTGCCCTAATTATGGACAATTCAGTCTTTTGGTCTTCTTTCTCGGTGATGAAATTACAACTTCTGCTAATTAAATTTTTCACCACTTTAACATTCGTAAAACAAGCATGAGTCTAGTTTGTTATCAGTGGATTGTATCTGCTTGGGTAGCCTAGTGCTATTCGCAATGTTTACATTTTCAAATATTTCTTTTAAACCATTTCGTTTGATGGTGACAAAAATGTTATCTACATACTGTAACCAAACTTTGGGTGAATTTCCTCATTTTGTGATCGCATTGGTTTATAAAGAATGTATGAACAAATTCGGTAAAATCGGAGGAACTGGTGAACCCATTGCTGCCCCTTAGTTTTATATGTAAAGATCTCAAAATAAGAATAAGTTATGTAGTAAATACGATTCAAAACACGTAATAATAACCTCGGAAGGATCTGACGGACATCGTAGATTCAAATGTGTCAGATTCCAAACACTCATAAATAAAATTCAGTGCTCTATTGATAGATACATTAGTAAATAAGGAAGAAACATCAAACTTGTCATTAATTCATCATCTTCCATGTGAATGGTATCAATATTATTCTTGAAATCAGTGAAGTTTTTCATTACATGATTAACCAATTTGTCATATAGTTTGAGTATCCTAGCTAAGTATTCCGCTGGTTTATATGTTGGCGGATTCGTCAAATCAACCACTGGTCTAAGTGGTGTATTATTCTTGTGAGTCTTTCTTATTCCACAGGACCTACAGGGATTATAACTTTTTGGATATAATGTGAACAAGATTGCTGGACAAAATGTTTGGATTATTTAACTTGCCATTACTGAGATTATTTTAAATATAGTTTTCATGAATAAATATCTTTTGGTGTTTAAACTTCCTCACTATCATCTACACTGTTGTTTTAATTCTTTTAGTATTCCTCTTTATTAAATTCATCTCTTCGTGTCGACGTGGTATGGCAACTCGAACTGACGTTTATTTTCGTCAGAATTAATGTTCTTATTATGAATAATGATTGACTGAAATTAGATGAAAGAGCACATTCAAAATCAAGAAACTGCTTATTAGTTTCATACACATACGGTTAATAGAGCGTTAATCATTGTTGAATAGAAATAATCCACTACTACAAATATATTACGTAGTACATAGGTACAAAAGAATTGATTAACTTTTGCTATCATTATATATATATATATATATATATATATATATATATATATATATTCGATATGAATGATCATAATACCCACTTAACTAAAAAGTCGCTTAACATTTTTGACTACTAAATTTTTAGTAATGTTTTCTATGATGATTACTACTAATATGCATTTATTACCGTGACAAGATATGATCACGTAAAATACCTGACAATTTATTGGTGAACGATATTTGTCAATTTTAGGGAAGTTTTTGCCATAGTCTATAGTCGTCAGCTAGAGAATCATGTAATACAGAACGTTAGCACCTATTCCGCCTTTAACAGTGTGTATCTACAGCCCTACATTGAAGTGCCGAGCTCCAGATCTGACAATAAACACCATACATCCACTCAATGGAAATTTGTTTATTCCAAATTTAATTAATTTGTAAAGTATAATGATCATCTCTGGATGACAACATTGAATGCTTCCTACATTCTTAATTTAGTTGACTTTATATTTATCGTCACAAAATATTTATTCACTTAACTGACAATTCGTATTGTATTTGCAATTGACGTAAACTTTGATTTTTTTATATTGAAAAGTAAATATGTAGTGCATGTAATGATTTGTTCAATATTTTCTGTATATTATTGAATAACTTTATTGACTGAATCGTTTCTGTCTCCCCTTTAGATTCTTTTTTAACTGCACGTTCTCATTTGGATAACGAAGCTACACGTATGATGAAAACTCAATTTATGGCCTTATGGGATGGGTTAATAACAAATAATAATAATACTCAAATAGTAATTGTAGGCGCAACAAATAGACCTGGAGATTTAGATCAAGCTATATTACGTCGTTTATCTTTTAAGGTAAATGATAAATATTTATACGTAATATCCCATCATTTTGTTACTTAGTGGCCTTTTTGGGAAATTTTATTACTACAATAATGAATTGTACTGTACCAAACACAATTATATATGTATCAGTAGGAATCGATATTCTGCTGTTTGAAAACTTAGCAACCTTGTATGGTACTCACCCATCACATCAAGGTATGTGTCAGTTATTTACTTACTTCAGAGTTGATCTCATCAATAGCTTATTTTAGTCGATGAAACTTATAAGGTCATTGTTTCAGATCACACTGCCTCAGACCAACTAATTGCATAAACTGGAAATATTTAATACCATGTTAAAGGTTCAAGATTGAAATCACACAAGTAAATCAAGTTGGACTACTTTTATGATCGTTCTTTTCTTTTCTATCCCAGATAAATGTTCCTCTTCCTAACGCAAATCAAAGAAAACACATCTTAAAAGTACTTCTTAAGGATGACCCAGTTGCTAAAGCTCTCAATGAAAGCGATTTCACGCAGATCGCTAGTAAAACTGAAGGACTTTCTGGAAGTGATCTCTCTGAACTATGTCGTAAAGCAGCATTTGCATGTCTATGGTCTTTTCTTGAAGGTGGTGATACGTAAGTTTTATGATACCATTATCATTCATAGTTTATTAACAAACCTACCTCAGCATTCACTCCAAGTTATATTTATTTATCTGTTAAATAAAATTTTAATTGTTACCGACTTACTAAAGTCACACATTCGTATTCATATTTGTTTTGCACTTAGTCAACCAGTGGATTCTGGCGAATATATATATTCGTATGAGTTGCCACATGACGATAGCACAGCTAGATGAAATTATCTGAACAAACTCCAGAATGGTAGAAGTAGTAACAGCGTATTTCCAGCCTACTCTTACACCACAGATCACTCGTCTCGGTAGGAGTTAGTTAGTCATTAGAAAAACATATCACAACCACCTCAGCTGATGAAGCTTCACTGTTTTACCAATCAACTGCCAAACCCCATCACTTCTCATTCAATGACCTCAATGAACACTATCAATGATTTGAAGACACCTATGATCGAATACTAGTAAACTTATGATTACTCTCTGTTCTAAATGGCCATGTTTTACATCTATAAAGAAGGACAGAGTCGATTAATACTCAGTAAAGTGGCCCTCACCTGCACCATGGATGATGAAATTCGGTGTAGCCAACTGATATTTCTAAATCCATCCTCGACTACTTCACTGTTCGTCAATAATTCTGGTGCTGGAGTGGGTCAATCCCCAAGTAACATTTTTGACTTTAAGGAGGAGATTCGCATTCTAAACGTGTTTGCATTGTTGATCAAAGCGATCATAAAACTGGGTTTCGTTAGCGTCCTCTCCAAATAGAACTATTCTCTCTGCTTATTGTAAATCAACTAGTTGATCCCCTGCTAAATCAATTCCTGAATATTTAGACAGTGAAAGCGTTATCTTTAGAAGTTCGTATGTGGTGAAGTTAAATAAAAATGGAGAAAGTAGTTAGCCCTGAGGAACACTTGAAGTTGACAATCCTGATGACAGTTTTTCATAAGCTTTGACTTGACCACTAGTGTTCGATTACAGATCTCGTACAAAGTATATATATCCCTAACACTTGGTAAGTTCATGAAAAACTTATTACGACCAAAATGTCTAAGGTTTAGCTTATCTGACCGTACTATTGAATAATGGGAATCTGAAATTCTAAAGTATCTAAATTTTTTCACACACTTCAATGACAAACTTCCAGCCTAAATTCAGTATATACTATATCACTGATAACCTCCATTAGGATGAAACTTACACTTTTATTAACTTCTAAAGTTTTGTTTACCAAAATTTATTCACCCTTTTAAATATATTGTAATATTTATATTTTTTAGGCAAGCCAGTTTACTGTTAACTGTAGACCACTTTACACAAGCTTTACATAAATATATGAACGATAAACTTAACCTTGCACCTTTGGGTAATACGAACTTCTTTCCTTTGGGCTGAATTTGTCAATCATTCATATAATCCAATATCTTTTACCAAATTTTCTTGATTATTATTATTAACTCAATTCGATATATATTTGTATTTATTGTTTTAAAATGTTGAAACATTTCAACATTTTTTTTGTTTGTTTGCACCTAGTTTCCTGTGTGAACTTTTGAATGTTATTCGATGATTGACTCAGTAAAATTATTTTGATTGGATTGTTTTCATGTTTGTTTGTTTTGTTGTTGTTGATTGAATACATTCCTACGTATGTATAAAAACAAATTTTGGAAAGTAACTTTTAAAACAAAAAAACAACTCACCATTTTATAGGAATTGAAAAATCTTATATTGATCTTTTTTTTGAAGATGAATAAATTATTCTAAACAATCCTTTCTTCTTTTTTTTTCTTAAATATTATCACTTACACATAAAATCAATAACTATGATTTCAGCTAGTCCACTGTTTCTTTTCTAACAATTTAACACCACATTATCAAGTTGAATTTTTAGCCCAGATTTAAACAGAGTATGCACTTGATCTTTTGGAAAAAAAATTTGTTTTTCAGTGGTTTTTCCATTGAACATTGACAATGAACTCTGAACTGATTTCAGACATGAGGCATATCATACTTACTATGCATAATCATATAGTATCAACGCTATGATAGATAGATATCGGGAGTGCACATAAATTTAAAAGAACAAACATTCTCGAGATTATATATACACATATATTACACTATATATATATATATATATATATATATATATATATACATTTGGGATGTCAGTTATTAGATGTTAAACATTTTAATATTTGAACAAATTGGTTTGTTTTAATGTTGCATTCAAGAGTAATTGTTATAATAAAGCCTACTTACAATTCAACAAAAATGTTTATATTAATTACAGGTTGTTGCTCATTTAGTATATAAGACAGTTTGCAAGATTTATTATAAAGAGCTTTATATATTGAAATTTTCGAGTAACTGTTTAATTAATCAATTCTTCGAGATCGTGTAAGTGTTCTAGGTTAAAATAATACATGCTTTAGTCAAAAGTTACCTAATGAAAGCAGTCTCATCGAACTTAATGTCTACAATATTAACTCGCCAATATGACGTTATGATAAAACCGATTTTCAGCTGTTTTATTAGTCTTCTACTACTACAACTATTCTTCTGTCTAACTACGGAAACTAGCACCTTTACACACTAACTACATTAACAGTCAATAAATTGATTTCCCGATACCATGTCCGAGGACTAAGTTTTGTTAGCATTATTGTTTACATACTCTAAATCAATGAATGGATTTTAGTGTAGGAAACTAATGTTCCAAAACTGTCAAATGTATTTACTAGATGGAAAAAAGCATTCATCCCTGGCGAAGGCCATACACGTTACTGTAAGATAGAATACAGTAGTCTGTGGTACAATCATAAGTGTTCAGGTAAGAGTAAACCACTGTAATGTAGACTACTTGCAAGATATTTGTTCTAGTGTCAGTACCCGATAATAAATCTCTTGATCGATGGGGCTAACAGGAGCTTTCATATCAGGAGATATGGCTGAGGTCAAACATCACAGAACTTCGCAAATCAACTTTGATGATTAGAAGTATTTAAATTATTATGCGAACTAGGAATTCCCGCGATAACGTAATTTAGACCGAAGGGAACTATATGAACTATATGAATTCGAAATCAGGCAGTCATCAAGTACAAAAGAAACATTAGTTCATACAAACAACACATCAACCTATCTGGATTCCATAGGTTTATTAATCAGTTGTTGTTAGATGAAAAGGAATCAGTAGAGCTCTGACGTTAAAACAAGAATACTGTAAATAGATCTTGTAAATGGAAGCGTATGACCAAATTAATTAGAATTGAATATTGGAAACCAATGAGTTTCATCAATTGAATTAGCATGACGTCCACTTGTACACCGAGTGACTGCCTACATTTAGAAGCTTATATTCATTATAAAACAATCTAAGACCAATATATGGTAGATTTCAGTAAGGTTGTATGGGAATCGGTTTTCATTATATACGTTTTCAACCAAATGATTAAAAATCTGAAAGTTAATATTTTGCAAGTTTTATCAGCAAGATATTATTTTCTTATTGTATCAGTCAAGTGATAATAGTTTTATTCGCATCAGCATTAGAACAAACAATAAAAATGGTTATTTTATTTACTTGTACATGTGATTTAAGGAATAAAATAAAAAGTCTAAGTGAACATGATCAGAACCAGTTTGCACATGGTTTAATTTGAAGTTACGGCTATCATTAAGGTGGTGCACGTGAGATGAATGTCAATCAGTCAGCTACAACGTAGGACCAGGCACATATATACATCGGTCCAAGTTCCCATCCTTCATTAGCACAACAAGATCAACACCGAATTCATAATAGTTAATTTAATGGTGGTAATATACAAAAGAAAGATTGTATATAAAGATATAGTACAGAAAGAAGGACAGATATGAAGCAATTTTAATCTCACAGTTTAAGGGAAGACAGAGTGTATACACCTACGCCATTGTGATCGATTCTGAGCCATGTCACAGTCTCCAACCATTGGTTACGATAGTCCAACCAAGTAGTCTGCATCTGCCAACATGGCTCATACTAGAGGTTAGTGAATGAAAGTATAACGAATAAAACAATTAATTTTATGAATATTGTGTACTACTGGCTTAGTATTTATTAAGCAGTCAGTGTCTAACTCTCATTTTTAGTGTTTTTTTTCTAAAAAGAAAATGTATACACACAGTGACCAAAACCTTTTACTGATAAAATAATTTGAATGATGTTACAGCTGACCTGGTTATGCAATTTGTCGGTTCATATGTTCTTGCTAAATTTAATTAATACATGATAGATTTTTACAAGCAAATGGAAACAACCTCTACGAATACCATGTTTCTGATAATGTAACACTTTCAAATTTTGCATTTGTTGACTCATGTTTTCAGATATATATGAGATACATACAGTTCATGTGTTAGACATAAATCCAATTTCTACTACTTAATGATATGCCAAATTATCGCTGTACACATAAAAAATGAGGTAGTCCGTAAGTCATTTTCCAACCAGCTTGTCGATGATATATTCATTGAAGTGAACTAAGAATCTGCACACTTCGAAACAAGGATTTCACTTACCTCCTCCAACCGTTGAATCGGACTTCCAGTCTTTTAAAAAGAATGTCTCTTAATACTACATTAATTTCTTCTTTATTACACGTGTGAGCACATTTTAACAAGTCTATAATTATGTGCCAAGGTTGATAAGGAATAATTACGGAGAATCCTTATTTTCCATTATTTCACGCCTTTGTTGGGTAAATAATTAGGCTTTGATTCCGCTCTGACGTTTTCTAAACTTTATTTGCGAGATTAGACGCAGGTGCAGCCGACCTATTTTATTCTATTTTGAATTAAATAACTAAAAAAAATAGTATTAAGTTCTCAATGTACCTAGTGAATCCAAGGGGTTCTATCCGAAAAATAATGATAGAAATCTGTTGAATCGTTGACTTGAAGCTTTCTACACTCAATATTCAGATGAATACTAATTTAACACGATAAACGATCCATACCAAAACGTCTTGCTTTAACTCTCATTGTGCAAAAAGGTATCTCAATTGCTATACCCAGAGAATACTAGAGTGACTTTTAGATGATGTCCAAAGGTTCACCAAAGTATTGAGTACTAGGACAGGTTGTTTTGTAAAAGTTCTAGGATGAAACAAAATATATAGCATATTTTTAAATGCTAATAGCAAGTGCCTTATATAGTATGACTTACACTGACATAGACCAGTAAACTGATAGTTGTTTTACCCCCCCCCTCTAATTAAACATTTTTGTGACAAGTACATCGCTGCAAATACGCCAATATACAGTTTTCAATAAGTTTTCGTCGTAATATACAAAGACACAACCGTATCCTAGAATCACTTGCTTAGTGAGAGACTACTCCCGTAAGTATAAGTCCATATAAATTATTAATTTAGAAATTCTCAACAGGTCTGAACAATTATCTACACTTCAACTATATTAGCGACAACAGAATAACTCATTCAGTTAACTTAGCTCAACTGAGGTAGAAAAAAATTGCCAGGCGACTAGTTTGTAAATCGCGTACAACTGTGCAGCTTTCATTCACATGGCAGCTAATACGACACTGAGTGACTGATGTGAGACCTGATTACCAGCTGGGTTTTGTGACTCAACCAGAAAGTTAAGCAAGTTATATGACACGATTTCTCCAGTGTGAAAACACAGGTTTTTAACTTCAACTATAATCTCTTAAGAGGTTCTAAAATAAAGTAACATGCAACTATTAAATAGAGTAGTGCATCAAACAAAAGTTGCTCTATTGGCGGAACTCATGAATGATCTGGTGTGGGTTAATAAACCGGTCACAATACTAAAAAAAGTTTCTTAACAGTAAAACATCTCAACTGTCGAGATAGTAATATTTTACTATCGATATGACGTGATAAAATGAAAGCTTGATAGGCAAATCGACTGTTAATTGAGGAACCATAGTTATCCTTGATCTGCATTACTTCTTAAAAGTGTACTTAATAATACGACCAATGATAAAGTTAATCACAAGAATAAAGCACTATGCCGATTGAGAATTGATGAAAATACCTTGTCAGAACGTTGAAGCTTACTATCCATAAAACAATAGAGCTAAGACTGAGTAGTTAAAATATACACGAGCTCAAACTCAGTAACATGTCCTTCAGTTAGGATATTCCGTTGGCAGCTTCAATCTTCACAGAAAATATGCCTCAAAGTAGAATGCACGAACTTTTATCTGATTGCTGGAATTTTAGCTTTCTCTCCTTTTAGCACACAAGACAAATATAATGGATAATCATCAATTTACCTTACCACCAACTATTACATAATTATTTTTACTAACGACGAGAAAAGATAAAAAGGTTTTAGTGAAAGATGTTATATCAACAATATAAGTTAGAAGTGATACAGACATTTTAAATATACAATTAAAGTATGAACCAATTAGACGATTTAAAAAATAACTAAAATATTGATAAGTAATAATCTTGTTTAAATAAAAACATTTTCTCATTTGAATTGAAGGTAGTAACAAACGTTTAAATAACAAAAAGGCAAAACAAAATAGACTAGTAATGGCAAATACTTATGCATATAATCACAAGCTTTTACAAATCAAGAAATGCTGACTCAAAGATTAAATAGGAATGCAGTACATTTGCACAAGGAGAAGGATAGCTTACAACTGATAGGTATCTGACATCTAAGAGTTTATACAGAATATTTGGGAGGTGGGTCTTCTGTAAGTCTGACCGTAGGTGGGTCTCCAACTATAAGAACAGGTTGGATGAATCGGTCACCAAAAGAAATAGGAGCAGAAGCGACAGATCTAGACAGGTGGCACTGCATTCTAGAATGTCCAGATGTGTTATTAATTCTGAGATTAGATTGATGTGGTGTATTCCGACATAAAAGTCGTGACAAACGCGAACGTATAGATGAATGAAAACGAGGACGAGATATTCCAGCTGAACGTCTCCTATAGCGACGAGATGTGTTCGACTGAAACGTCATACGTTGGTTCCGCTGAATGCGGGTAACAGTTGCACCCAAACCAGATCTCCTTTGTGACTCATTGTAACTAGGAGGAAAGGGAGGAAATATCATAGGTGGTTCTTCATGTGTAGGTGAAAGTATCACATAAACAATCGTAGTGGAAGATGAAAATGGAGGTGGATTAGATGAAGAATCAGAGGCAGTGGAAACATTTGTAGGGACTTGGAGAGTTGTATACAGAAGACGAGGACGAGGTTCACTAGGACGAATAAGACGCAATCTTTTAAAACGACGAAATATAGATCTACTTGAGGTACCTGGTTGTTGAACAGAGGATTGTTCATTGCTGGAAGAGCAAGAAACTGAAGTTCGATCTTGAGTTTCGAATCTCTCTGCATCAAATAGGTTAGCAGCTGCACGAGCGGCAGACAAAGCTACTGTACCAGTACCTGCTTGTGTGAGGATTAATGAATGACGATTCAACTCAGATAAAAAAGGGATTAATGTATGGTGGATTTGTGGCTTATGAACGACTTCATTAGCACTACTGGTGGGATAATTTTGTATAGGTACATCTGAATCGATGGCTAATAGTACATTGCCAGTACCAACAAAGTCATTTATTGCACCTGATCGGAGCACAGAAGCTGCTTGATTAGCTGTAGCAGCATTGAATGACACTATATTAGTGCGTAATGAACGTGAATTTTGAAATCGCAAATTAAGAGAATTTGAGCAAACGCACCGACAGCAGAGAATGGATGTTGCAAGACTGACTGATGCTTCTAGAATACCGACTATCAACAAAAGGAGGTGCAAAATAACTTGACATGTGCGCAAGTAGGTATCTGATGTTTCACGTAGGACATTTTTATAGTCCAAAGGCTGCAAATCAGACCAATCTTGGGTTCTCGTTGTTAACACTGCCAAGGGAGACTTTGGGTCGTGCCTTTGGGAGAAAGTTTTGTTTTCACGGTGACTTGATGCTATTTTTGTAAGTTCACGGGAAAACCCTTTCCGTGTAACAGCACTGCTAAGAAAACCATCTTCTATTGTCCCAGCCACAGAAACACAAATGAGAACACATGCAGACAAGCTTACAACCATACACAGTACCAACAATCCTACTAAGGCACATACAATCGGGCGACGAGCAGCAAGAAGACCATGAAATCCAGTAACCACCATTAATATTCCAGCCCATAATCCTGTAGCCATCTGATATAAAAAGACCGCCTTAGTAAAAGCAACACTCGAGAGGACGATAGCTGCAAAACCGCATAACAACTGAATTATACTTAGAATTATGAGATTTTCATTAGTTACTCGGTGGCGCGGGAAAGAAAACAAGGGACATTTGCAAGACCCAGTGAAAAGTAGGCAGAAAAGCGCATCAGGTGAGCATGGTGAAACAGTTGGAACCAAACATTTTGATTTGAAACAGCAAATATCAACACAGTGTGTTTTTGGTATAACTGGGGCGCAAAAAGTGCAGAAGCAACATGGACGGGGAACTTCCTCGTCTTGAGATATATCCGACTGCACCTCAGGAATAGCAGGTGGGCACGAAGTCAGAAACTGGCTATTAAATAATCTATTTGAATGGCTGTTATTAACATCTTCGAATGCATGATAATCACCCATATTCGGACATGATTGCACAAAAGGTATAGAGTCAATTCCATGGACGAAATTTGAATGTACATAAGTAGGAACGTAATTTCTTGAAATGCCTTCTATATGAGCATGTATGCTGCATCGACCCGTTACGTCGAATGATGTTTGTCCTTGCATCTCATCAGACGGTTGAAATCCTGCTTGAAAATCTGGAGTGAAAGACTGTCCACGAAATCCACAACTGTTGTTTGTAACATCTTGTGAAGCAGTGCATGTACATGCGTCTACCATTTATCGCTGTATCACTGCCCTATATCATGAGATTAGAGCTGCTTTCAAACACAAACTAATCGTAAGCATGAAACGTTTTGTACTGTACATTCCAAAAAGGCAACGTAGTGTATTGCAGTAAATGAGCTGTAGGTTTAAGAGCAATAAAACTTTGAAAGTAAAACTAGAAACTCTAACAAGTTATTCAACAAATAAATATGACTACAAAACATCAAGTCGAAATATGAACCAAGAATATAAACAGCTTCAGGTATCAAAAAGAATTTCAACTTATATCAATAAGTGTACAAAGTAGTTTCTAATTTCTAAAGAAAATCCCCTTATTTACACTGGCAAAACGAGATAACTTCAGGACTTGGTGTATTTTTATTTAGTCACTCTAAACTCACTTTTTTCTTCGTTCTTATCCCGATTTTTCTCAGTTGACAGATTCGAACACATAAGCTAAACAGTATCTTGATACTATATTTCACACAAGACGTTATTTTATTGCCGAATTTTTAAACTTTAAACACGTCTATAGCTAGACTCGACCCTCAATTACCGGTTTTCAAGTAAGAGCACAGTTATGTTCACTTTCGTTTGAGTAACCCAGTAGTATCACTGGTAAGAAATAAGAATACATAAACGCGTGCTTTTTACTAACTTGAAACTAACTAATGGAATCTGATTGTAACTTTTGTGTTGATAACACTGGCTGCCATATACTACACACTTTATGCGAGTTTTATGAAATTTCTCTAGTAGAGAACTTACACTATCATACCCATAATCCACCGCAAATCAACGCACATCGAGTTTTACGAAGCTCACTAAAACAAAGTGTTTATAAGCCCAGTATGGGTTGGTGGTAGACGAAATCTTGGTGTACATACATAAAGCTTATTTGTTACTCTTAGTTCTTCACAATCTATGGGACGAGATACGGCAGGTGTATTATTGCTTAGTCTAGCCGCATGAAACAGAATATTGGAGTCACCTTATTTGGAAACCTTACTAGACCTGGTTCGTGTCTGACAGAAACTCAGCACGAATACAAAAAACCCCAGCCCACTTGTACTTGCAACTGTGATGCTGGCAAGATGTTTATCTGCCCATCACAGGTCCCAAATTTTTATAAAGCGGTTTGGTGTGTTTTACTTTTTACTAAAAAGCATCAGTTAAAGCAAAAGATATGTGTAGGCTGCCATTATTCGATCGTGGGTCTCTTCGAAACATTGACTCAGTATGCTGGGACCATCAATTCAATAACGATGCAAGTCTTATGTCACAAGGTCGTGATATTAAGTTTATATGGTTGTGAACACGTGGTTCAAAACTATTCAAGAGGCCAAATATATTGACTTTTTATGCTATTCAAGATATTGGGGTTAATGTCATTCCATAACAACATTTACCTTGTTCTTTCTTATATTTGGTTATCCACTGAAACCAGCCATATCTGTTACTATGATATGACTGATATTGTACATTGTGATGACTCAGTCGGGCTGGAGCAGCTGAAACATTTGCCTCTATGAGCCCTACCAACAATCGACCTTAAGATCTTATCTTTATTACAGAAGACTGAAGGCTGAGGCCCATTTGAAACAAGAATCTCCGTGTTACAAACGTTTTCCGACAAATTGATCAATCATCAGAACCTAATATCGTGCAAATTAGTGTCCAGGCTTTCAAGAGGCGAATTAAACAAGAGCCTAGAGGCTATAGCTACATACCGAAGCGTATAGTATGCTAGTGACGAAATGACACAAATGTCAGATTTTCTTACTCCAGATCACGAAACAGAATCTGATTTCCGTGACAGTTTTGACTAAATTTATACACAATTAAAATCTAGGCTACATAACAACATGATTTTAAAAAATGAACAAAAGATACCGTTTACTAATAAGTGACCTTCACGATCAAAAACGCGGTGGCGCTAATTAGCATAATGTGTGACCTAGTAACAATGGTCTACTCTTTCAATGCTAACGACGAGCGAAAAGTTAGACAACAGTACTCTTTTTGCTTGTCTTTTTAAATCGATCAAATGACTTTCGTACGACCTCCGGCGAGAAGTGATCATATAGTCATCTTATTCAAATGGTTCAAATGGTTGAGGACAGAATAGAAGCTTTCGCTTAACGGGCTTCCGTGTCTGGTAGCAGTGGATCACCAATGCCTCCAGGTAAGAACCTAGGTATATGAACGATAATAGAGGAAAAAAAGAATTTGGTAAATCATAATAATATGTTATCCTTAGTCCTTAAGAATAAGTCAAGTTTCCTCTTAAAGGACTCCTGGGAGGTCGCTTGGACTAGCTCAGTCGGTAGCGAATTTCAGCACTTGACAACTCTAACGAAGTAGAAGTTGTGCCTGCAGTCTGTTCTGCTATGTAGGGTCTCCAATTTCTGGGTGTTACCTCTGAGGTTAGTGTTATGACTAAGCTTAAGAAGTTGTTTAAGGGGATGACCAGAAGTATTAAGGATACTATAAGTCATAAGAAGATCACCTCTAAGACGCCTGTACACTAACGGGTAAAGGTTAAGTGATTTGAGGCGCTCTTCATAAGGTTTGAATTTGAGACCCCGAACTGATTTCGTGGCTCGATGTTGTATACGTTCCAGAGTGTCCTTATCCTTTTGGAGGGAGGGAGGGAGGAAATACTATGTTTCCGTACTCTAAGTGGGGACGAATAAAACTGTTGAAGATTATATGGAAGGTTCTACCGTCAAACTGGCCAAAAATGCGCTTCAATGTTACCAGTGCAAGGTTTGCTTGAGAGGCGTTTTTGTCACAGTTTGCATACGATTTCAGGTCGTAGGGTACCAACACTCCTAAATCTTTTTTCAACTTGGGAAACTTCTAGAGGTGAGTTACCTAAATTATAACTATAGTCTGCAACATGTCTCAGATGGACTACCTTGCACTTTGAAGTGTTGAAGGTAAGTCCGCTGTCGTCTGCCCAACTTTGAAGTCAAGTCAGATCCTCCTGAAGAACTAGTATATCATTTTGATTACGTATCTATCTCCAAAGTTTCACATCATCAGCAAAAAGCAATAAGTCATTTGAAACTTGTTGAGGAAGATCGTTAATATAAATCAAGAGGAGAAGAGGTCCAAGTTTATGGCTGAGATGGCCCGTCAAACAGTTGTGCCGACCCGTCCTAACATATGGAAAGCAGACATGGAGGCGATAAACTCTGCAGCATCGACTGAAAACTGTATAATTGACTAAGAGGCGTCGGCAAAAGAGTGACAGATTCATTTCAGGCAGTTATACAATCGGGTAACTCAACCATATATCCCCTAGATAGTCCCAAAGAAGAAGCCAGGCCATCCCTGGATGGGCCGGGATATTCGATGTTTAATGAGACAAAAGTAGAAATGTTGGAATATCTTCACCAGTCTTGGCACAGCAAATACTGTGGAACGCTGCAGGTCAATAAGAAATACGTGTATAATTGAAATCCGGGAAGCTCAGGGAAAATATTAAATGCACTTGACACAAACAGCCTAAGAGACTATTCTTGTACATAACTTACAGAAAGAGGATGCAGCCTTGGATTCCCAACCTAAATAGGAGAGGGGGTGAATATGGAATGATAGAGGACGACCAGGGAAAAGCGGAGTCTATCGTAAACTATTTTGGGGCAGTTTTTACTCAGGAGCCTCATCTATACAAAGAACTAGACCCAAATACGAAGTCGATGAACCTTCTGCCCACAGTGGACTTTCATCGAGACGATGCTCTTAGCACCTTAAACACAGAAGAGTCAACAAGGCCGGATAAACTAAATCTCAAAATCTTGAAATAACTTGTATAATATATTGCGGCCCCACTAACTGCGACATTTAATATGTCACTGGACCAAGGTATGTTACCTACGGACTGGAAGGGTGAAACGTCACTCCCATACATAAAACAGGACCAAGAAAATTTCTATCGAACTACTAGCCTTTCAGTCTCACCAGTGTTGTGATTAAAATACTGAGAAGAATAGTCAAAAAGATCACAATAACATTTGCGGAAACCAACAACTTGTTAAACAGCGGACAACATGGTTTCAGAAAAGTTTTATGTTGCAAAACAAACTCCTTTGTGGCAAAAGAACAATGGATAAAGGCTCCAGACAATGGAAAATCAGTGGATGTTTTCTATATAGACTTCATGAAGGAGTTTGACAAGTTGCAAACAAATAAATCAATATGTGATATTAAGGTTTTTCTCCTACGCCCACCATTCAGACTCATGTTTCTAATTTTATGCTGGATTAGCTATCCTAATAAGACATCCGATAACACGCTAACTTCGAATTTTATATGAAAAGTGTGTGACAGGCATCGGATAAAAAAAGGCAATAAAGGATAAAGTTGTTAGTCTTAGTAACACTTTAATCTCTATATGCACTCTCTGTTCTAATAAACAGCCTTCCTTATACTGAACTTGACTTCATTTGAACCTACTCCATCTTGATAAATATCACATCTCATTGTCCTTTATTACTGCATTCTCTCATCTGCAGCCCCTGATCACATTTCATCCTGAGAACAAGAGCTATTATAAATTTAACCTAATAATTTATCACACCTCCGTCTTTTCCACTACTAAATGTAAAGCATTGTCTACCGTTCATATCCAAATGCCTTGCTGCTCCCCAGTTTCTCTTTTTTCTTCAGAATCTTACTTTAAGGGCAAAGCTATAGAAATTCTGAAATCTGAAACGTGCTCGACGGACGCGCTCTACCAAGGTCATAGTTCGCACCAGGCGCTCCACAAGTCTACTCTATAACAACTATAAACTTAAAAAGCTGCATTTTATAAATACTTAGCACGACCGAAACCCTAATACACTTTTTCTCGAGATTGGATATGGTATGTAACGTGGACGCGATGCCTCCTTGGAAAATATTTTGAAGAAAACACATTATATCTGAACGAATGAACGAATGGCTATCAACTTTTATGGATTATATTTACCAAACAACCTAGCTTGAGATGCATACTGTGAACCAGTAAATGTTGTAACTTGTAGATCGTGCCTGTAAAAATGGCGTGTACCTGTAATTGCAGAAATATAATATATATTGATAATAAGACCCTTATTGCTGCATCCTGGAAGATTTGAAAATGGAGGTTAAGTCATGGGGAGGAGAGCGAGCAACCATAAATAGCTGATAAAGTGTGATTGTTTGTAATGATAAGATTAAGATTCTTATATCAGAGGATTAAGCCTAAATTCCGACGTTGGGATATAATTTAGGTATGTTTTGATGAACTACAGAATAGAGTAGCGATATGTTGTGGAGAGGAACAGGAAGAAAGCTAAGTTTATTTTAATTTTCAAATTTAAATAAGTGCATGCTAATTATGCTGGTCAATGACTAACTTTTTCGCCGTATTTTTAAGTTTTCTATCCTCTCGTTCTAAGCTCAAGGTTCTCATTCTGCTAGTTCTGGGACTTTTAAGTAGAAACATGAATCTGACTGTGGATCAAAAGTATTAGTCAAAGAGGTAATAATTATTAGAGAATTTCATGATTATTATCGATAAGTCACCTCACTATAAACCATAGCATGCCTGAAATCAACAGAATATTTTGTCCAATGAACATGATTAGTTTGGAATAATCTTCCCACCACCATGCTCACTCGTTACTAACTCCATCATCCTTTCCCGATATTAAGCTGTTATAAAGTAATGGCCTAATCAGATATTACATCGTACCTCGGGCCCTTTTTTATACACCTAGTTGTAGCACACTGTTTCGACGATCACCAAGATACAAGCAAAGCAAACGGCTGACGCTTGTGTGTTGGGGATTAGACGTTCATGTAGTATTTCTCACTGTCATGACAAGCCAACAAACTTAGTCACATGTCAATTTTCAAAAGAATGGTGAGCAAACTAGGAGAAATGCATGGTAGTCCGGTGTTGTGAACGGTTCTTGTAACCAACCACTAATTGCTTGCCATGAGTAGTCAGAGGGAGTTCGAATTTCAGAGTAGTCACAAGCAATTATTGGTCGTTGAGTGGGAAGATGTGACACTGAAGCACATACAATGAGTAATAGGAAACATAGTTTTTTGTAAAGCATGCAATATTCACACTTTATTGATTCTGATGGTCACGCTGATTTCTTCTAAAGCAGTTTGGATAACAGCTATTGAAAGGAGCGTCTAAGGTGTTCGATGTCTAGTGGATTCAGTTGGACTGGTCTATTCAGGAGTTCTTCACAGTGTTCTGTACATCTTTTCAGCTGCTCATGTCTCTCAGTGATAGGCATGCATCCTCTTTCACTCGTAAGTTTTTTTCTGTGTATTCAGCATGACCTTTTTTGCTCATGGCCAACTATTGTTAATCGCTGTCTTCTTGTTCCTCATATCAAGATATGTGATTATGCTTTTTCTGCTCAACACATCCTGGCAACTTGAATTTAACGTTTCTTCATTCCCTTTTCAGCTGTTCTCTATAGAAGTTTCCTTTTCTTTAAGTACATTTTTCCAGGCTTGGAAACTGTCGCTGAAATGTATCTTGAATTTTTTAAGTCTGTCAATATTTCGAAGAAAGGTTGCATCAAAACTTTGTACTGCTGTTTGCCCAGTTGCTCAGTGCTTTTTTAGCCTCAGTCTGATCTTGGCCACAACCAGGTGATGATCTAAAGCTGTCAGCTTTTCTCTTTGTCCATACATCTTCCATAAACCTACCAAACTTATTGATACAAATGTGATCAATCTGTAGTGTGGTCTGGTGAAACCCATGTGACCATGATGTATGCACTTGTGCGGGGATATGGTACCATCTATAGACATTTTATTGAATACACATAAGTTTTCAAATCTCCTACCATTGTCGTTCCTTTCGTCATCCCATTATATATTCATATCCAGTGTTTTCCATCCTGGCTTTGGCGTTCAGGTCTCCCATTAGGATGATCAGGTCTATTCCTGAATACTTCGTTGTGGTCAATTTCAGCGTCACATAAAAGTGATCTTTATCGTCGTCATTGCCATCATTGATGGGTGCATAACACTTGATAAAATCCATCGC